TTCCTCTGGATGTCCTGAGCCATTTTATTACTTAGTAATTCACTCTCATGAGGTCCTTGTATAACTCTTCACGGTACCTCATGTATTTGTGACCCTGAATGCCTTAACATCAGCAGCAAGCTTCGTCAGCCCGTTTTCAATTCTTTTTCAAGATTATTTCTGAATATGCTGAAGTGAGCAGACCCCCCTCAGGTCCCTGTGGGCTCCATTCCAGTCCTCCCTCCACTCAGGAGCTGCCTGTTGAGAGCTGCTCTTTGAGAATCCTTTCACCGGGTATTTATCTATTTCCAGCCTTTTCTGTTTATCCCCTGGTTTAGCTGCATTCCTGCAAGAAACTCGCGTGACAGACCCTTTTGAAATCCAGGCAGACAATACCACATGCTTATCAACCCCTCTCAGGGCTGTAATGGATTTATGAAGCATTCCTTTATTCCAGGAAAACCAACCTTTTTTTCTTCCCAGTATTTCAGATGTATCCAACTCTGCACTGATGGGATTCTTTATTACAATTTCAGTTTGCCCAGGAGGGACCTCAGATTTCAGGGCCTGTCTTAACCTCAAACCCTTTCCATTTGTCACCTTGAAGCTCTCAGACACCGAGGCTGTTACACACAGTGATTACATGCTACAATTAAGTAATTAAACTGTTTCACCTCTGAGTTCTCACTGAGCACTTGGGTGAAGCATCTCAGCCTGGTGAATTTGCACTCTTTAGTTTGGCTATTTATTCCTCAACTTCTTCTGCTGACACTTGACCATGTGCCAGGTCCAATGCCACATCCATATAAAGATAACTTTTGGCACAGGAACGTCTCCAAGCTTTTCCTCACTGACTACAGATACAAAATATTCATTGTTTTTCTGTTCTGACCTTATCTCCTACGAATGCTTCTCTTGCACCATGGCCAGCTTCTGACTCTCCAGCCTCTCCAGCTTGACGTGTTCAAAGAAGTATTTATTATTGTTTGCCTCTCCCTTTTGCAGGTTGCTGCTGTGACTGGTTTTGGCTTGCCTTATTTCTCCTTTTTTTGCATTTAAATTGTCAGGATACGCATTTTTTGCCGGTTTAGACAAAAATGACTCTTCTAAACATAAAAAGACTGGTTCCCTAAAGTCTGAGAATCACAACCTGATCTAAGACCCAGTCTTAACCAGGTCTAAAGCTCTAGGTTTCCCACTAGACAGGGATGTGCTATTTGGTTTGACACCAGATTTTCAAGCGTGATACATTCATATGGACAACACCAAGCACTGGCTGGGATGGATTTTGCCTGGCTTGGCCCTCAGGGCATTGCACCTTCAGCGGCGGAAGGAGGGAACATTCCTTGGAGCAGCTGTGATTATTCTGGGAGCTATTTTGGGGTGAGCCCCCCCGGGATGACATGAGCTCAGCAGGCAGAGCCCCACAAGTGGAGGGACTGTGATGTTCCCTGCCTATGTGCATATGTCTGGAAGGCCTGTTGCCATGGAGAAGTGATGGGAACTGTCTGCCTGGCTCGCCTGACTTTTTTCCTAGCACGAAGCAAAGGCATCTCTCCAGCTGTAATGAGCTGGGGCCCTGCTGCCTCCTCTGTGCCACACTGGGGTAAACAAGACCCCCAAACACCACAAAAGGCAGGGAGGAAACTCTAAATGAAGGCAGGGAAGGAGCAGAGAGCAAGAGTGGAAGCTGCAGGGAGATGGGCCAATGCTCATGGAGTGATGGAGCAGGGGGCACACAGACCAACATAGGAAATTCCCATCAGATGTATGGGAATCTTTCCCTGTGAGAGTGGGGCAGCCTTGGGACATAGACCAGAGCATTGGTGGCATCTCCATCCTTGGAGGTCTTCAAAACCCATCAGGCTGAGCCCTGAGCAGCCAATGTGCCTTTGAAATGAGCCCTGCTCTGGGCTGGACCCTCCCCAGCCTCAAAGAGGGAGACTTTGGTGGGGAATGGGCAAGGGAAGGTTGGAGAGAGGCTCCAAGAGGCACAAGTGTGGCAGAGAGCAGTTTGAAAACAGGATGAAGATGGAGGCATCCCTGCTTTTCAGTTTTGGGAACTGGCAGTGCTGGGCACAGCTTTGTGGAGACTGTAACTGCTTGCACGGCTCAAGTTCTCCACAGCTTTTCTTTAAGTTGTTCCCTCAAAACAGATGGATTTTCTCTCGTTTTCTGTTGTAGGAACTCTTTGTTGACATGACTGTGCGACAAAAACTGGGGCGGGGGATAGTCATGAGGAGAAGTTTAATGGGAGTCATTCTCTGTGGGAAGGGATCCAATGCTGGGTTTTGTTTTGTACCTGGAAAATGTCACTGTGAGCAACTTTGGGGTGTTTCCAGGTAGATCTGGTGGGGATTGTGTCAGAGATAGAGCAGATCTCTCTGTTAGTTTGGAGGGGGTGTATGTATTTTTAAGGAATAGCATTTGCCTCAACTGGTAAATTATTTAAACATAGAAATAAAGAACATTTCCCACCTTCTAGTTAAACATCTTTTCCCCCATCTTTTGACCGTGTGTTCACCCCCAGATCTCTGTCTCTGTGCTTCTATGACATGAAGCAAGGCTGGGCATCAGATCAGATGAACGTGCATCAGCTCTACCACCCTTGACTCCAACACACAGAAACGAGGTGCACCTGCCCAAAAGTCTGTTCACCATGATGGATGGAGATGACAATGTTTAAAGAAGTCCCACCACTCAGTTCAGTGCTGGGTGACAGCAGAGCTGTGTTCATCCTCTCCTTTGGGCAGCTGCTCTAAGCTGAAAACCAGGGAGATGTCTTTATTTTGCACATAGGGCACTTTTTCTGCTCCCTCCTTGGGTCTCAGCAAAGACACAGATCCAGAATTTTGTTTTTCAGAGTGAATTCCTCGGTCTGTGATAAAATTCCGCCTGATGATGTGTTTATAACCTGCTCCTTGTGTCCACACGCGCACGGGGAGTTGGGTACCTGATCCATTCTTTTTCTGCTCTCTATACAATTTACTTTATTTGTCAATGTGTAGATTAATAGACTAAATAGTTAGACTTAATTTGTCCAAATCTTCTTATGTTTTCTTGCAAATTTGACTTTGGAGTCTATGGAGAAAGAGGATTGAAGCTTTTCCCAGCCTTTTGGTCTCTCCAGGACAGTGAAACATGAGCTTATGATACAACTTTTCCTCAGGTAGCATAAGATGAGGTGTGTCCCTCACTCCCTCCTTCAGCTGCCTCTTTTCACAAAGCCTGTAGGAACTTTAATTATCTATAAAACTTCTACTCCTCTGTCAAATATTCTTGAATGAGCTGGCTCTGAATTCCTGGGATTCATGCACCTTGCAGAGTCAGGAGGACTGTCCAAGTGCTTTTGCTGAACATATTGTATGAATAATATTTAAGAATTTGCTGGCCCTACTCACTCAGGTGCCCTGAAAGCAGATTTATAAAATACTTTCCCAAGGAAAAATACTTTTCTGAACCTTCCTAGGGATCAAAACCTACACCCATGGAATTGATCTGAGGGCTGGAACCCCTCTGCTGTAAAGAAAGGGTGAAGGCGTTGGGATTGTTCAGGCAGAGAAGAGATGGCTCTGGGGAGACCTTCTTGCAGCCTTTCAATATATGAAGGGGCTTACAAGAAAGATGGTGGGAGACTTTTAACCAGAGCCTGTAGTGACAGGACAAGGGGAAAAGAAAGAGATTTAGATTGTGCAATAGGAACTTTTTTTGTAAGATGAAGGTGGTGAGACCCTGGCACATGTTGCCCAGAGAAGTTGTGGTTGCCCCATCCCTGGAATTGCTCAAGGCCAGGTTGGATGGGGCTTGGAGGAACCTGGTCTGGTGGAACGTGGACTAAATGATCTTTGAAAGTTCCTTCCAACCCAGGCAGTTCTGTGATGGTCTGAACTGAAAACCCTCTGAGGCTTGGCTGACTGAGCAGTTGATCAGCTCCTTGTGTTGGGTTTGTTTTCAAACATTCCATGACCTCAAAGCAGGTGTTTCTTCTGTCAGGTGACACTGGGGACAAGGAGGTATCTTGATGCCCAGCTCTGCCTCACGGCTCTGCTGCCTCCAGTCACCTCTGGGAACTGCTGTGCTGCCCGTGAGCCTGCTCTGGGATGGTGGTGGTGAGTGGTGACATGCTCAGGGGACAACACTCATTCTCCAGTGGTGGAGAATGGGTGTTTGTGTCAGTCCTTCAGAGCTGTCATGCCCAAAACCCAACGGCCCAACCTTCGTGAGCAATGCGACGCCCCTGCACCCACCCCTGCCCTGCCACCCACACAGCGCCCAGCTGTGGAAAGTAAACCATGTGTAAAACCTTCCACCCGATCTGTCAAAGGCAGGCTGCAGTTTTATGTCAAAACGACTGATTTTTTTTTGCAGGTTGCACATCTGTTTCCTGACAGGAGCTTGGAGGGAGCATCTCCCAGGCCTCCCCTCGCAGCCGTGTCTGCCGGCTGATGGCTGGATGTTCACCTCAGGTAGAATCGTGGAATCAGAGAGTATCCCGAGCTGGAAGGGACCCACAAGGATCATCCAGTCCAACTCACAGGACACCCCAACAATCCCACCCTGTCCCTCAGAGCCTTGTCCAAACCGTCCTGGAGCTCTGGCAGCCTTGGTGCTGTGCCCACTGCCCTGTGGAGCCTGGTCAGTGCCAACCACCCTCTGGGGGAAGAACCTTTTCCTGAGATCCAACCTGACCCAGCCGTTCCCTGGGTCCTGTCCCTGCTCACAGGGCGCAGAGATCGGAGCTGCCCCTCATGAGGAAGGTGCAGCCCCCTGATGTCCCCCCTCAGCGTCCGTCCCCCATCTGCGGGCTCGCACCGAGGAGCGCGGGGCACAGCCGCGCACCGCGGGGGCCTCCGGGCCGGGGGTCTCTCCCTCAGGCGGGGCCGACGCCCCCTCCCCATGATGTCAGGGCACGGAGGAGGCGCCGCCGGCCAAATATAGCGGCGCTTCCTGGGCGGTGGGGCGGGCTCGTCCCTCCTCTCCTCCTTCCCTCCCTCCGTGCCTCCTCCCCTGCCTCCTGCCGCAGTCAATGGGGCGGCAGCGGCCGCGGCGGAGCGCAGGGCCGGCGGGGCCGGCGGGGCGGGGGGCGGCATGGCGGGGCGCTGAGGCGGCGCGGCGGCGGCGAGGGGCGCGCCCCGGCATGGGCAGCCGCGGGGCCCGGCGATGAGCGCTCCCCCGGCCGCTCCCGCTCCCCCCCGCGCGAATATGGGCACAGCCGTGTCCAAAAGGAAGACGCTGAGGAACGAGGCCATGTCGTCCGTGGCGGCCAAAGTGAGGTGGGTGCCCTCGGGGGGGTCCCCGCGGTGCCGGGACCCCGCGCGCCCCCGGCCGCCCCGGGGGCTCTGCGGGGCTGGGGGGACTCGAGAGCCTCAGGGCGAGCCAAGGCACCGGCTGCGGGCACGACCGGGGTTTTGTCCCCCAGGGCCATCGCGGGGTTGGGGAATGGCAGCCCTGCCGGTGGGTCCCCCTCGCTGGCTGCCCCGAGCCCCCCAGAACCCGCCGCGCTCCGGCGGTGACTCCGCTCCCGCTGCACCCGCGCTCCCTCAGCCTCGGGAGAGGTGACTTCTCTCAGAGGTGTCCCCGCCACCGGCCCGGCGGCAGCGCCCGCAGGTTTTATTTGCTGGGTTGGCAGGGAGCGTGGGTTTGTTAGGGATGTGTCTTTCTGATCTCCGGGAATCGGGAGCGTGGTCACTTCGCTCGGTGGGTTCTCCTCGGCTGAAATGCCGTCTGCGTGTCCGAGGGCAAAGTCAGCAGCTTCCTTTTCACTTTGAATGGGAAAACTGTCGTGTGAAAATCTGCACCCACCTCGTCTGCCCTCTCCGGCAGCGTCCCAAGCCACTGCATGGACCAGTTAAAGGATTTGGGTTCTGTATTGTGCCTGTTCTGCTTTTATATTGCTTGTCCTGTGTAGCGTTTCGCTCGCCGACTAGTCCCACTGTTTTTCAGTATCAAACATCCTAGAAAATATATTTGCTGCTTGAATTTATTGGGGTTTAACAAGCTGTCAGGGATGAGGTTTGCTACAGTGCCCAGGTAGGTGGAGAGGACCCTTCTCCCACGCTGCAGTGCGAGTATCACAGAAATCATCCGGCGACTATTTGGGGGCATTGGCGCAGCTTTTTAGCTGCTCCTACAGCACAGCTGTGCCAAGGGGTAGGTCTGTCGCTGTCGCTGCTACATCTAGACCAGCTCCTTGCTGCTGGGAAAAAAATGGGGAGAAATAAACTTTTCGGCTGCATTATGTAACACCTTCCTTGTGTCAGACAGAAATTGCATTAGAATAACCTGGAGTCATGTGTAGGACACGATCCGTGTTGCTGAGAGATCTCAGTCACCTCTCCGTGTAACTCAGCATTATGGCATCTCTGCTGTGCCGGGAGGAAAGAGAAGTCTGATGGCTTGAAGGGAAGAAGATTCAGAGCTGTCTGTATATTGCCATCTGTTTGAGTTGTAAAGAAATCCATCCTTCAAAGTCTGGAGTGTCTCTTAGAGAAAGCTCCCCGGGCAGAGCCTGCAACTTTTCCCCGTGTTTTGGTGCACTCTGCCCATAAACCAGTAATGGAAACGTGGGTGCTTTCAGTGGCATCCAGAGATTTGGAAGTGGGATTCTTTTTGGTGATGTCAGCCAGGTGGATGTGCAGAAATGACATGTGAAGCACCATAACTGCTGTGATGGGGTTCTGGGATTGGGATTTAGACAGTCACACAAACAACATATTCGGTAATTGGTAAGATTTCAAGTGGTTGTGTGGGTGTTTGGGAGCGACTAATGTGTTTTGAACATAATGACTTGTTAGCCTACACCAAGGTGGGCAGATGCTACTCGGGTAGTATCAATTGTGTGGAGACTGGGAGGTGCCTCTGGGGTTCTGGTTTGCTACATACCTGCTATAACTACTGACAAGCTGCAGGTACAGTTATGTGGGAGTTCTGAGGAGTCTCTTGCTGGTGTGAATTGAGGTGGCTTGACTAAGAAAGTTAGCTGGACTTGGGCTGGGGAACATAAAGTCCTTGAGGAGTGTCTGGTCACGTAGACCATGGCACAGGACAGATGTTTTTATGTGTCTCCCTGTTGGTGCCCTGTGCTAGAAATGCCTAATCCAAAAAGCCTTAGAGGAGGGCAGAGAACTTGCTGAGGGGCTCCCTGCAGTGCCTCTTTGCATGGAGAAGGTGCTGTCCACGTGCCTCCATCCTGCCCCTCCATGCACAGCTCAGCCCCTGCCTCCTGTGGGCTCTGCCACCCTTAGAACGTTCACTGTGGTGATGACCCACCTGCTGAAAGGTTTCCTCCAGGCTTCCCAGAGCACATCACACACAGCCCCTCTGCTCTGCCCTGGATCCTCCTCCATGTATCCCATGTGTCCTTAACTACAGCAAGGACTCTGCAGGACACTGGATAAGGCTACAGACACTGTTCTGTCCATCCCACGAGGGCTGGGGACTTGGGTCACCTGTATGGTAGCACTGCTGCAATGATTAGGTGCCCTGTGGGTATAGGCAGCTGTAGAATCCTGCTCCTGTGCTGCAGAAAGAGATACCCTGGGATTGTTTCTCTGTATCTCCTGAGCTCTGCCCCGTTCATATTTCTCACAACTTTTTCTTTGGAGAGAAAAATCATCTCCTGAATTTCGCTGCAAGTCCAAGGGCCACTGATGTATATTTATTATGAATGGATGGAGTCTGTGTGCACACTTCACTCTCACTGAGCAAGGGGCATGGGTTGTTTGCTGGCATCAATAATGAGATCTGAGCAGAAGGTGCGGGCTCCCTAGATTCTTAAATTAAAACCTCTGCAGAGCAACTCAGGGGAGTCTCCTGTCCCAGGAGAATTAATTAAGCTCCACACAGTTTGTTGTGTGCTAGGTCTTTTAAACAACTTCTTACAAACTAACGACAGTGTTGCTCTGTGCCAGCGTTGTGGGGAACATCCCCAGTGCTGCTGGCTTGGCTCTCTATAGTCTCTATAGTCTCTATAGTGCTCTCCCGAGGGAGTTGCAGTGACCTGCGCCGATTCCGTGCACACACCCAGGCAGTGGCTGTGCTTGGAGCTGCTGCTCTGATCTCATCTGAAGTGCTGGGCTGTGAGATCTCCCTGTCAGACTGTTTCCTCCCTGTGAGTGCATTTATTGCCCTGTGTGCAGCTCCTGGGAGTGCTGAAGGCAGGGATGACGCAGTTGTCCTTGAGCCGTGACCTTGGTGCTGCCCCTCCGCTGACAGTGCCGGGGCTGCTGCGCCTTGGGCTCCTGCACGTTCCCCTCAGGGCCAGGGGGTGTCTGACCCATGCTTCCCCAGCACACTTCCAAGGGTGCACATCAACCCTTAGAAATGGGTTCTCTTTGCCCTTGCTGCCTTGGCACTTACAGAAAAACACTGGCACCCCAAATGGGGCAGTAAAGGAAGTCTTTCCCTACAGCTCTGCTTTGTATTGTGCTGTTCTTTGGGAGAGCGTGACAGCGCGAGCAAACAGACATGAGGCTCTTGCTGGGTGTTCCAGAACCATCTCTCCTCGCTGTAGTTAGCACAGGAAATATTTGAGTTGAGAGCGTGGTTCATCTTTGCCCAGTTTCAGGACTTTGCCATCTAGTCCAAGATACCCCAAAAAGAGGTAAGGATTTGGTCTCCCTCTCTACCGATTGGAGAGAGCTGGAGAATGGCTTTGAACACGGCATTCGTTGCTGTAAAAGGGTAAGTTTTGCACTGACAAAATGCAGAGGTACTTGAACATGTTCCTTATCCCAGGTTTCTTGCTGTGTGAGAGATTTTTGGTTTAGACTGAGGGGTTCTTCTTGGAGTCTAGATTCTTTTTTCTGCCTGTGAATGTTCTGGTGAGTGGTATGAACTCTCTCATGCTTTGATTGCCTTTTTCTTTCAACTTCTTCTTGCTTTTCCTCTCTCCTCCTGTCCAAACTTCATGACTAAATTACTCCAAGACTGTGGGGTCTTTGACTTTTCGATCCATTGCTGATGTCCCATTTCCCTTTCTTGAGAGTGAGAATTTTAAAATTAAATTTTTCCAGCTCCCCTCTCTTTACAAAGATATTTCAGAAAACTAATTTTTGTCAGGGTATTGTTACTATTAGGCTTAAATAACGTAGGTGTCAACAGTCTTTAATGACTGAACTGTTAACTGGGGATATGCTGGAGGTGTTCCCTTCTCTGCCTGGTGACAAGAGCAGGATTGCTGCTGTAGGAGGACGTAGGTCCTGATGATGCAGGAGGTCTCTTGTCTCCTGTTTGCCTGAGATGCAGCACTGTCAGGTGCTGTCACAACAGATTCCTGCTGCAACTGCTCTGGGCATTATTTCTGAAGGAGCACAAGAAGGTGGTGGGTGTTCTTTATTTTTTCCATGTAATACTTCTGAACAGTCCAGGTTTTGCTTAGCTTGCTGCTGTGCTCTCAGTGGAGTTATCTGAGGTCTTTCCTGTCTCTCTGAGCGTTTCAATCCACATTTCTTCGCTCAGTTCAGTGTCAGTTTGGTGGATTGCATAAATTTACGTGCACCAGTTTCTCATAGCTGCTAGTGTGCGTCAAGGCCCCTTTTATCCTGCTGATGTGATTATTTCAGAGACATGAAGGCTATTCTATGCTTATCACATTGTAATTGAGATCTTTGTTATTTGATGGCTTCGCTCCTTCTAGCAAATCTCTGTCTAGACTGTCTGCGCTTCTCCGCAGTTCTGGTCCAGACCTGAGTCCAGCTCTGACATCTGATGCACAGTGAGTACTGAAAAATGCCCCCCAAAGGGCAGCTGCCTTTGCTGCCTGTGTTGTGCTGCCCCATCCCGCCCTCCTCACTCCTGAAGCCGTTCTGCTGGAATGCTGGAGGAGAGGCTGGTGGTTTCTGGAGCCGTGGCAGGCTGGTCTGTGCTGCTTACACTGGGCAGCACAGCGTGCTAGAGCTGAGGTCCCTGGTCGATGTCCTTCTGTTAAATCAAGCTGTGCTGACTGTGTAACATGCAGGGCTGATCTGCCACTAAAATGATAACCTCTCTCCAGATGAGTCAGAGCTAAACTTGTCGTGTCATCAGCTGATCACCTCTCAGTACTACCTGCTCATTTGTGTGCAGCTTTGGCAGTGTCACACACTCAGGGTTATAGCTCACCAACCTGTGCAGCTCTAAGGCACCTTGTACCTCATCTCATTGATGTGAAAAAAGTTTTCTTTTTCATCCCTTGCCAGTTAAATTATCCCAAAGTGTCTCTGCTCAGAGCCCAGTTGAAGAGTTTTGTGTGATGGTGTCATGAGGCTTGAACTCCATGGCTGATGATAGTGGAGGCAAAGCTGAGCTGAGAGAAAAGTCTGATTGTGTAACTTATGGCAATAGAGAGTGTAGATTAAACGGATAGAAAAGAATGGGATGACTGGAGCAGCTACCATCTGTTTGAATTTTGCTCTGGCTTTATTTTGATAAAGCCAGTGGGTAGCCAAGGAGAGGGGGAAACGGCATGGTAACAATATGGGCAGGTGCTGGTAAACTGGGGTGGCTGTGAGCACAGGGAGGGCAGAGAAGGAACACAAAAGGCTTGGCAAGGGGAAAACAGGCATAAGGAGCCATCAGCATGGCCATCAGAGTCCCCTTGGCAAAGGGCACGTGCAGACATCAGTGGGAGATCAGCTGAGGCACAGCCAAGGAGGAGCCGATGGCACTTGGAAAGCAGGGATGTAGAAGGGAACCACTGAGATAACAGGCAAAATAATTAGCCTGAAGTTTGCAGTGTAATTGGCTGGAAACCCCCCGTTGCACATTGTGCTGTGCAGGCGTCACTGCTGTCTTTGCTGTCACGAGAGAGCTGTGACCGTGTGACCAAGTTTGTTTGCTCTTGGCTTGGCCTGTGGGGTCTCAGAGCTGTGGGGGTGGTAAGGCAGGGACAGAACTGCAGGTTCAGCCTGGGCAGGGCAGCAGGGCTTTGGAGCAGCCCTGTGCTCCTCCACTGTGCTTCTGTCCTGCACGAGAGGTCTGAGTATTGCCTGTTCCCTGGGAGCTCTGGCACTTGGGATTGCACCCTCCTACCTTGTGTGCTTGGGGAAACAGGACAGTGAGGTTAGAGACACTGCAGCACCTCTCTGCTTGGGCTCCTGCACTGAGTGATGTTATTTTCACCATGGCAAGCATGGAAAGCATTTCACCATGGAGGGTGGCATCACTTCTCTCTGGCTCTGTGTTAGCCAGTTTTCAGTCTGGATCTTAGGAAGTGTTTGGTACTAGTTTTTTAAGCCTGCGTTGGTTCAGGTTTTCAGAGCGACAAATCAGCTTCAGGCATTGGCAGAGAGATGAATGGAGAGAATGATAGATGATCTTGGAGCTCTTGGAGCTTTTGAACTAGTTACAGACTACATTTTATCATCATATTTCACCATGTTTTGTGTGAATCACCGTGTTCTCTCACTGATAAATTATTACCTGAGAACTTGCTCGTTGTTGTTTTATCTACACGGAATAACTGCTGATGCAAAAGAAGCTTCAGAGTCTTTCCCCAGGGTGTAAGTGCTCCATTTGTGAATGGTGTTGGTGATGCCCTGCAAGGACAGACATTTCCTTGGGAAGCCTTGGAGTCCCAGAAGTCTCGGTGGAAGGGATCTTGGGGGTCTCGAGCCCAGGATTCTGCTCAAAGCTGGGCTGTTGCTGATGCTGTGCAAGATCAGCCGGGGCTTTGGCTGAGCTTTAACCACCTCTGACATGGAGTGCAGGAGTAGCTCAGGAATGCTCCTGCAGCTGCATATCCTGATGTTAGAATCACAGAATCATTTGGGTTGGAAACGACCTCTAAGATCGACGAGGTCAATCTGAGATCCAACCGCGAACCAAACACTGCCACATCCACCACTAACCCATGTCCCCAGGTGCCACATCTGCATGTCTTTTAAATCCCTCCAGGGATGGTGGCTCAGCCACTGCCCCAAAGTAGCCACATTCCAGCTCTCAGCTCTGCATTTGTGTGTTGTCCTGGGCCCAAGTCCTGCTTTTTGCCCGGACAGAAAGGTTGGTGCAAGGAACATCCACGCGGTGCTTTTCCTCCTGGATGGGTGAACCATGATGGTCGTCCCTTTGTTGTTTGCAGTGGGGATTGTGGGCTGATTGTACAGCTCCCCATGTGACAGAGCCTCTGTGTGACCATCTCTAGGTGTGCTTAGGCACTGATGAAGACAGTTTGGGCAACTGCCACCCCAAGTGAGTGTCTAAAGGTACAGCCTGGGACTAGGCAGGTGAGGATATGGAAACAAGGAAAAGCTCAGTGCTGGATGTTAGTCTGTAAAGATGCAGAAGCTTAAACCTTGCTTCTTGCACAGCTCCAGCTGTGCTGCTCCAAAGCATTTTGCATTTGGCTGTGCTGAAATTTAGTCCCAGGGAGATTAAATTACTCTTTCTTCATCGTTGGTATCGATCCCGTGTTGCCGGCTGAGGATGACAAATGGACTTCCCACTCCTTCCAGCCCGAGTCGTGCTGGGAGGTGCGTTGTAGCTTTGTTAATTTTTTCCCCTTTGGGAGGAGGTGCATAAAAGCAGTGGCTACACAAGTTGGGGTTTGCTGCTGCATCGGGTAGCAAAGCAGAAGGTTGTTTTGGAGGTCAAGGCCATTTTCCGCTTAGATATTTAGTGTCCCTTAGGAGATTTATGCAGCAGCTTGAATTGGAGAGGGATGTTGAGGTTGAGCACGTCTGAAGGAGGAGGACAGTGGATGTGATGCCTTAATATGGACAATCTTCCCTGTTGCAGCAAGTCTTGACTCCTTCCCAAGAGATGCTGGTGTGCTGGTGGGCTCTGGGTCTGCTGGCTTGGCTTGGCTTGGCTGGCCCAGGAGGTGGGTGGCTGTTTCACCTCCCTCTTTGTGAGGCCCGTGGGCAACTCAGTCTGATTGTGAGGCTGCAGACCTTGGAGAGATTGTTCTGCAAACCTAGGGAAAATGGATGGCTGGGGAAAAGCTGGCATTAGTATTGGCTCTCTTGAGTCACAGGTCTGTTGGGTACAGGAGAACAGGCACTGCAGCAGGACTGTACAAAAGCCCTGGCAGTTGGAATCTGGAGATTACTGTATTCCAGGGAATGCGTGCCTTGACCAAGGATTCCTTTCCTGTGCAGGTTGCAAGCAGAGAGCTTTTCCCTGGTTGGAATATTCATAGGTTTGCTCTCTTATGTAGGCCTTGATGTGTTATAAAGGTTGAGCTCCCCCTGCTTCGTTGGTTCTTAATATATTCCAGTAAAATCTCGGTCATCCACGGGACCTCAATCCATCAGAGAACCAGGAACTGCTTTTTGGGGTAGTTGTGGGTGTCTCTCAAATAAGCTTCTCCAGTAATCCAATCACTGACATAGTTGGTGCTCGAGAACTTGGGGTGAAGGTGGTTAAAACGAGCATTAGCATTCATGTCTAAGCTGTTACAGCTCACGGGTGGGAGCACTCAGGACCTGAGTAGGAGGTTGGAGAGGTGGTTGGCACCAGGGTGGAGATACCACCTCCTCTGAGCTGCCAGGAGGGGGTTGAAGACAGTGAGCCAGTTCCTGTGTGCATCAGAGAAACGAGGCCAAATTTATTGCAGGTGCATTTCAATTTTAGTTTTCAGTTTTAAGAGAGAAGGTAAAGACTGATGTAGTCCTGGACTTCCAGTCCAGCTCTGTTTTCCCTCTTTGGCCAGGGGAACACTGTGTAACCAGGAAGCCCTCAGTGCTATGGCAGCATGTTTGCACTGGTGTCACCTGGGGCTGAGGGATGACAGCTGCAGGAACACAGCAGTCCATTGCTATTGAACTGTGCCTTCTTTCCTTGGCCTTTAACCACTGCCCATCTCTGTTTCTCTCCTTTGCTGTGACACACAGAGCGGCGAGGGCTTTCGGAGAATATCTTTCACAAAACCATCCCGAAGGCAGAAACGGCTCAGGTAAGAGAACTGATGTGCCTTGTTTGTGTCCACGTGTGTGCATGCACCTATTGCTTGATAGCCCTAAATTGAAAGTGCATTTATTTGTCATGAAGGGTTGGTGGGAGATCTTGGCAGGAGAAAAGGCGGTTTGGTGACTCAGTGCTGGGTGGGCTGGAGGGACAAGTTCACTTTCAGTGTGGTAAATGCACCCCTGGAGCTGATGTCCCTGGGAGAAGCTTCAGCAGGGAAGTGACAGCACTGCACGAGGCTTCTGCACTGCTTTGTCACTCCTGGGTCTTGCTTTCACTGGGGACTAAAATAAGGTGAGTTTTAGTGTGTTCACTGGTGTGCTTAGTGTATGTGCAGCAATCTGTCCTTGATGGCAAAGGTAACAGCTGGATTTATTCCCAGGGTTTGCTTCCACAAGGGGTTAAACTGAGATTTGCCTAGTTGAGGGCATCAGCATGTGCCAGTTAATGTGTCAGTATTTTAGATGCAAGGTATTGTCCCCATCAGCTTCTGATGAGTTCTGCTTGATGGGCAAGAGAGCACAAGAGAAACTCACTCACTTCTAGCAGGGCTCTGTCTTCTCTATGAGGAAAGAAAATATTCTGCAGACAATACATTCATTAAAAAATCTATAGAAAATCTTGTGGAATCCATAGAAAATCCTATGTGAATAAGTAGCAGGTTGTTCTGTACTGTTGAACTGTTTTGCAGGGGATAAAGTTATTAAATAGAACGTGGTGTTATCATTTTAGGTAATTTCTGTGTGTGTTTAAACCTCTTGCTAAAAGAGCAAGCCCAGTCACACTAGTCTTTGGCAGGCAGCTGAATGAGTCCCTGCCTTTTTTCTTGGATCTCTTCTAATGACCTTCAAGTTGTCCTTGGCTGAGTTGTGCTAACACTGTGAATGGAAGGGCTCTAAAACAATGTACTGCAATTTTCTTGGATGTTTTTCAGGCATGAGGAGCTCCAGTGACACTTCACTTACAATATTTGGTCTAAGAACAGCCCGTGGTGGTAGGAAGGGAAGGGTGGGGAAAGGCTGGGGTTTGGTGCAGCTGAGATGAAGTGTCTGTGGGGCAGAGGAGGAAGGGAGGGTTGGGCAGACTGTGCAGAGACAGGCTGGCAGGAGCTTCCCAAGGTGGCAAAACCATCCTTCCATCGTGGCCATTTTTGCAGCTGTTCCTGTCAGCTGGAGTCTTTGCTGGTCCTTTTTTGCAGCCCCCCAGCCCAGTTTCCAACAGGGAGAAGTGTTGACTCCTGCTCCCTCTGTAATGCCCTCACAGAACCTGTGGGGTCCTGGCAGGGAACCTGATGGAGACAAGGGGGAATTGCAGATCTGTTCAGGTGCCTGAGGGCTGGGGAGCTCTGCTCAGGTCCAAGGAGCAGGAGCCTCTCTGCACTTACAAAGCTGTTGTTTACTCAGCCTTAGGGGTGCTCCTGGTTGCTTGTTCCTCATGGACTGTGGGTAAGGAGAACATGGAAATGGAGCTGATGTGTCTCCTGGATAATGTGTTGGGCTCCCCAGAGCAGCACTTCAGCCCTCTCTGTGCTTGTTACACATCCCTAAGCCCTCCAGGGAAGCCTTTTCACCCACTGCCCCTTGGTGTGTCAAGCTTGAGATTGTCTTGAATCCAAGTGAATTTAGTTGCCACAGGCAAGAATCAAGCTGTGAGAGGTACACATGGAAATACCACAATACTTATGGGATCCTCAAGTACTCACTTGGAAATAAAAAAAATCCCTAGAAATTACTCTAAATTCTAAAGAAGGGGAGGAGGGAGAATCGTCATTTTTAAGTCATCTTCTGAAATTCTGCAGTGTATAATTTAACACAGTCTGTAACACTTCTGTATAAATAACCATGGTAGGAAGGTTGCTATCCTATAAAATATGTTGAGAGTAGGAAATTTGGCTCCCTTTTATTCATCCCTATTTAGTCCAATCCCAGGGAAGTCATGTCTTTGCTTCCTGCAGAAATTCTGTCACAGGATCACAGCGCAAGTTTCTGAAGGCTTCACCTTTGGCTGGGCAGAGTGGTGGAGCTGTAGGATCAGCTGTCTGTTGTGCTTTTTGAGGAGCAGGAAGGTGGCAGAGCCATCAGTGGGACAGTGAAGGCTTAAATGGAGAAGGGAAGGGCAGGATCGTCCTCTTCTGTGCATCTGGGAGCTTGAACCCTCTTCTCTCCCTTCAGAGGGCAATCCTCATGGAGAAAATGGAGTGGGTGTGTCTCTTTGGGCTGTCAGTTCTTTTGGTGCTTTACCTGTTAATTCAGCCCCAGGAGACCCACCTGGGGGGAGATGGCAGGTGTGCAGATACTGCCCCAACTTGCTCTAGTTCTGCTACATTTTGTTCTCTGAGGATTGTTCGTTTTGGTCTAACTTTTTTCATCTTCAGAGTCCCTCGACTCCAAGGAAAGGAAATGGGCTAGTGGCTTTTGTATCCCTCATAAGATCATGTTCTACAACTGATCAAGGAGCTTGTTCTTCAGGGGTAACTTTTACACCCCAGAGTCTGTTTGTGGTGGCTCCTCTGGAGAGCTTGTGTGGCAGAATGTCTCTGAGAAATCGAGGAGTGGTAATGAAGAACTGCAGAGGGACTGTGTGGCAGCAGGACGGGCCAGCTGCCACAGCCAGGCATTTTAACCAGGGCTGAGTTATGTGCAAGGCTTTTTTACTTTCTGTTTTCAGTACAGTTGCAGTCAGTGTGTGCTCTCTGTGCTTGCTGGGGCAGTGGGTGTGGGATGAACAGCAGCAGGAGGTAGAGAGGTACTGTGGGGTGACATGGAGTGGGAAAAGGTGAGAGAGAACGTTTGTTGTTGGTTGTAACTTCTGACTCTTCCTGATGTGAGGCCCAGGAACTTCATGGCTCACAAATATTGTGTGACTATCCCTGTGCAACTCTTCAGTGTCTCACTGTGGAGGAGGTTTTTCCGGGTGACTGGGGAGGTACATTTACCTCTCCTCTTGCTTGGAGGTTACAGAAAGGATGATGGCAACACAGTTTTCTTCCCTTTGTTTCCCTTTTGGAACAGGGCATTTGCCTGGTGATGGGGTACAAGTACTGACAGAGGATGAAAAAATTCTCCCTTTGGGCTCACTGAGACTTTCCCCCCTGATCCTTAAGCTGTTTTGAGGAATTAGAAAAAAAAGGGAGTGTTGGATTCTGCTGCAGGTGACAGGACATGGATCTGTTGAGGGAGCTGGTGCTGAGGAGGTGATGGATCTCCTTCTCTCTTCCTGCCTCTATTCATTGCTGGCTTATTCATGCAGGCTGGAGGTCTGGGAGGGTTCCCACGAGGAACACTCTCCCGTGTTCAGTGTTCACTCTGACTGCAGGGCTGTTGCCAGAGTCCTTGCTGGCCTTTGTATCTTTCTGGTACCTTCCAAAGACTTTCCATCTTGTCTGGGGCATGGTTTTAGTGTAGGAGAAAAGGACTGAAATATTGTGGAAGTGTAAAAAGGCTGCAGAGAACAAAGCACAGAAGAAATAACCTCTCAAAGTGTCACCAGAGCTCATGGAATTTTAGACAGTTCCTTTCTCCCAGCTTAGATGTCAGATGCCCCACGCTGAGATAATGTTTTAGATTTTGTTATCTCCGTGTACTGACACTGTGAGAGGAAAAGGTAGCCAGGGCAGTGACATTAAAAAGGACAGCAAGCAGAGCCTTTGAGAAGCTGCCTCCTGCCTGGGGAAGCAGTGATGCATGCCAGTGAGCTGGGAGTCAGGCACAGTGATCCTTTGAGGAAAGAGAGGGAGCTGTGTGGGTTGTTTTCCTGTTACTTTTTTATCAGGCAGTTTCTGTTTTGCTCAGTGGGGTTGTTGGGAGGGAGCTGCTGCTGCTGGAGTGCAGGGCTGTGGGATGCAGCTCTGGGCTGCCCTGGGATTGACTGCTCTGGGCAGGATGAGCGGGAAAGGCTCTGGAAGCAAGAGAAAGGGAGAGATCCCAGCAGATATAAGGTATGGTTTGTGCTGCCACTGCTACCTTGCAGGTTTTGACCCAAATTTGATGTGATTCTTGCAACAACAGCTTGACTACTGGTTTGCATCAGTGCAAACCAAAGGAGTGTTTACCTGAAACTGGAAGACACTTCTTTTTAAGCTCATAAAAGATCATCACAGCTTTCCTTTGTTTTTGCATCGTGTTTCAGTCATCAGTGCAATGTGTAAGGAGAAGAGGGCACTTGTGAGCCAAATGGCAGTGGGTAGGGGTGGCAGGAACAAAACATGTTTACCCCTGTCCCAGGTGCAGAGCCTGCACTGGATCAACCCACTGTGTTTGCAGCCTGGGCTTTGGCTGCCTCTGAAGAGGCTGGGAGTGTGTGTGGAGGAGCAGCCACACACAGAGGAGCTTTCTGACGCTGCCAGAACTGGCCTGGGGCTGGAGAAACCTCGGTGTGAAGCCTTGCAGGTGCTTCAGGGTAAAGCAACCTGCAAGCTGTGCTTTTTGTGCCTCTGTGAAGTCAAGCTGGAGCTGTGCAGTGCTCTGAGGGACCTCTAGTTTGGCAGAGTTCAGACTGTGGAGCTGCCAGTGGAGCCTGGTGCAGGGTGAGCACCAAGGAGGCCTTTTTCTCTAGAGGGTGTTTGCCCTGTCCCCAGGATGGACCAGCAATGCACCTGGCCCTGCTCCCCGTGTGTCCCTGTGCTGATGAGGTGGAGGTGGCCTTGAGCAGTGGAGGTGGCCTTTCTGGAAGCAGAGGGGGCTGTAGGTGGCCTGAGCTCAGGACAGAGCAGGGATGTGAAATCTCATCTCTGTGGCTTTCAGGCCACTTCCAGCATAAGCCGGAGCAATTATGGTGTGGGTGTATCCTGAAATTTGCCATGGAATATGTTGTTGGCTTATAAAGGGAGTGAAAGCATAGGTCACAGTGTTGCCATGGAGATGCTGAGGCCAGTGATGGAGCTGCCACTTGCTCCTTTGGGTCGTGTCTCACAGGAACAATTTCATCTGTTCACATTAATGTTAGAGGCCAGAGTAAAAAGTTACTCACCTATGAGACACTGTGTCAATA